GGAAATGGCTACACACTCAAATGTCCTACAGAGGCAGAGTGTTGGTTTTAAACAACCTGGTCGCATCACAACTGTGGCACAAACTTTGTGTTTTAGACCCACCTCAAGGCCTGTTGGTAAAGATCCAGTCTGAGATGGTGAAGTTTTTTTGGAAAGGTCGACATTGGGTGCCGCAGTCTGTGCTGTTTTTACCGAGAGAGGAGGGGGGACAGGGCCTTGTCCACCTGGCCAGCAGAACGGCAACGTTTCGATTACAGTTCCTCCAGAAATACCTGGCGGGACCTCCTGACAATGTGTGGAGGGACGTGGCCAGCTGCATTCTTAGACACGCGAGCGGGTTGGGGCTGGATGCTGCTCTGTTTCTGACCAATGTTAGCCTTTTAAAGTTAAAGGGGTTACCCCAGTTTTACCAGAGTGTTTTTAAATTGTTTTCCTTTTTTAACCCAAACAGATCAAGAACGTATAAGTCTCTGCATTGGCTTTTAGAGGAACCGCTAATCTGTGGTGCAAGGCTAGACGTGTCCGATAGCACGGTACCAGGTCTGTCAGGGGTGCTGTGCGGGTCTGGGACGGTGACTCTGAGGCGGCTGGTGGAGACGGCCGGTCCGGACTTCTCCAGCGTCCGGGAGGTGCTTTCGCTGCTTGGAGTCCAGTTTGCCAGGCTGGTGCGGTGCTTCCTGGACCGGGTGAAGGAGAGGATCACAGCAGGGGAAGAGCGTCTCCTGCAGCTGTGGTCTGGGGGAGATCACCTGCCTGACCCAACGGACCCCTTCCCGGACATCAACCTAGATCCCAACTTCGCAGACAGTAGTGGACCTCTGCTGTGCAACATGGACCCACAAATAGACTTGTGCACAACGGGTCCAAAAGTGCTCTATAAGACTTGTGTTAAAGTCCTAAACAAGAGAACTCTGCACAACAGAGCTGTCAGTTTGTGGGACGGCAAGTTTGGAGGACAGAAGCCCCAGTGGAGGACGCTTTACAAACCTCCCATAAAAAAACGGACTGGTGATCTCCAATGGAGGATACTTCACGGCGCCATCGCAACGAACTCTTTCCTATCGATCATCAGTCCTGAGGTTTTAAACGAGTGTCCTTTTTGCAGTTTGTCCGAGAGTGTTTTTCATGTTTTTATGGATTGTGTACGACTGACTGCTCTTTTTAAATCTGTTTTTATTAATTGTGTATATTACAACAAAGCCACTAAATGCAAATCCAGAATTTTTAACTTTTTAATTGCCGAAGCCAAAATGGCAATGTATTTATCTCGCAGAGACAGACTGCAGGCTGGACATCAACTTGACGCCGTGTCTCTGTGGAAGTGCAACATCAACCCAGTATGCCCAAATCTGAGACGAGAAATAATTGTCTCTTCTCTCCTCGTCCTCCCTGTACTTCTCATTTCTACAGTTTTCTTTTGGATTTTATAGAACCACCGTCCTCTTTTCTTCTTCTCATATCTTTTGCCATGTATCCTTCATTTTCTGTTTTATTAAAAGTTTTTTTTTCTGTTTTACTAAAATTAACTACTAAATTCACTGATTGATTTCTAGTGGCTTCCTTTGCAGCTTTATCTGCCATTTCATTTCCTGTAACACCATAATGAGCTGGTATCCATAAAAAATGTATCATTAGACTCATCATATTTATTCTGTATAGTGTTTGTTGAATTTCTATTAAAATATCTGGCCTGCTTTCTGAACGGTTACACTGGTAACTGACTAATGATGAACTGGAGTCTGAACAAATCACTGATCTCAATGGTCTTGTTTCTTCAACCCACTGAATGACTAATAATATTGCGAGCATTTCCCCTGTGTACACTGAAAGTCCATCGTTACTTCTTTTTCTAACGTTGATGTTGAACTCCGGAACAATGAAGGCTACGCTTACTTTATTTACCAAGTTCTTGGAATTATCTGTGTAAATTTGAACATAGCTGTAATATGTATTGATATGGTTCTGTACCGTATTTGAATTTAAAATGAATCCATTATTCTCATTTCTTTTTTTCAATAATGTAAAATCTACCATGGCATCTGGAAGTATCCAAGGTGGTATTACTGGTAATGGAGTTGTTTGACGTATCTTGATCTGATCTATTTTGAGTTCTGTTGTTTTCTTATTCACAATCCAACCAAAACTTCTAATATCTTTTACTTATTTTTCCCAGCAAGGTTTAACTGTCTCTTGTGTTGGATCAGCAATGGCTGGAGCTCAACTGAAGACTTAAGTAGTCCTGGCACCAATTAGAGAAAATGGTCTGCAGCTGCTCACAGACACAAATCACCATCGGAGTAGAGTAATACAAACCGTGATTTTTGTAGTTATGATTAAAGTTTTAGTTATTTATAGATTATTTACTCATATGAATATGAGTGCTTTTGTTTTTATTGCTTCCTGCTATGCAGCACTTATAGATGCCTTTTTTTATTCAGCTTGCCTTTTTTATATTAAACTAAATAATATAACCTGTTTAAATAGGTGTGTCTGCAGATTTTATTTTTTATTTTTAAATATCCAAAATGAGACATGTGTCATGCAAACTCAAAATGATTTGTAATATGCTGGATATCAGACTTGATGTAATACCACTTTCCACCAGTAGAGGGAAGTATAACACCGGTTTTAGAGGCCTTCTTACTCTGCCTGATTAAAACAACAATTCAATGATTATACAATAAATATTTTCAAAGTTTAAGCATTGAATAATACATTAGCACGGTTATAATAATAATAATAATAATGTTTTGCCAATTTACCTTTTGAAACTTATTAATTATATTATAGTAACATTATTTATTATTATTATTTTATTTTTTTCCCTTTAAGCTAAACAGATGGACACAAAGCACTTTTAACGTGGGAGAGTTTGTAAAACAAAAAAAGCAACAGAGCATGATTAAATAAAAATACTTAAAAAAAAAATGATGACTGTACTGCATGACTAAGATTCACATGAGGCACTCCTGCTTGGAAAGCACAAATGATTTATCATCTTGCTGGGAATAATAATAATAATAATACAAAAAGAAGATAATTTTGTTGTTACCTGGCAACCGAGGCTTAATATAAGAGAGGGCCTGCTCTGGAGCACTGCGGTGCGTTTAGAGACTGCACTGCTGACAGCTGCCCACCTCCTCTGCTCTCACCTGAAGAAGTCAGCAGGATCAGCATCAAGAGGCTGCAGAGGATGTTAACGTCACGCACCAGAGGATGAGATTTCCCACTTGAAGTGTCCGTTTTATTATTCTTTATAATGAAATAACTCAACATATGAAGCCATAAGCAATTAAATCATCAGAAAGTTGCTGTTATTGACAGAGTTTGAAGAATAAAACCCTATAAAAACACACCTGCAGTGTTCGTCAAGGCAATTTGTTTCCCCCCTGTCAGTCTCTGGCAAATGTTGCATAACTCCCCCCGTCATGTCACCACAGTCTGTTTTTCAGCTCTGGCAGAATGCAGCGTCATGTCAGGAAAGTATGAAAGCGCCTCTGGCATGGCAGGCAGCGTGGACAGATGGTTTCCCCAGCTCCAATCTACATGGAGAAGCCCCAGCACAACGGATGAATCATCATTCTGCCAACTGCTTCTCTCAGCACGCCACATTTCAGCTCCCTCGCTTTTTGTTTTGACCCAATAAAAAAATAACACATTTAAAGGCATTAATCTTAAAAAAATAAATAAAAATCAGTACAGAACCTGTGAACAAATCTATGCTTTTTATTGGATTTTTTTTTTTTTTTGATGAGTCTGTCTTAAAAGGCTTGAGGCAAAGATCTTCAACTGTAAAATATTTATAGAGTATTAAATATTATTATGGGCTTTAAAAAAAACAAACATCTGCTGCACTGCTTTTAGTCCTAATTAAAGTTGGAGAACAATGTTCCAAAATAACAGTAAGGGAAGGAAAGAATGCAGAAGTTTTGTGCTTTATCCAGATTGAGCAGAACACGGGTAGAAAAATGATAAAACTATATACATTAAATATATATCCACATATTGTTGGTCATGGCCTATATACAATTATGTATAATGGTATGGGCCTAAACCATGCAGATAAAGTCAAATTTGATTGACATGTGAGATGTATTTTTTCAAACCCTGATCTCGTGTCACATTTTAGAATATATGTTGCGAGTGACCCTCAGCTACAATTTTTACTCCGCATCTGTAAAAATGACTGAGTTATAGCCATTTTTTATTTGCAGAGTTCAGCTAGTGGTGGTGAGCATCCTAAACTGGAATGGCTCCAAAAGTTTAACAGTCATAGAGGAACATCTAAAGAAGATTGCCTGAAAGTTTCAGTAAAATTGATGCAGCAGTTGATAGAATATTTTGCTAACAGACAAACTCAGTTGATTTCCAATCGTTAAGTGTTACATTCTGAATAAACAGTTTTCACAAACTGTTAGCACTCAAGACATATGTTGTGGATCAGTCTCAGCTACTACCACACCAAATTGTAACCTCACAGCTGAGAAATTGACTGAGCTGTGGCCATTTATGGTGCTGGGTAAGATTGGTTAGCTGTGGCGGCCATCTTGAGTGAAATCGACTGCTAACAGTAATCAGCAGATATGTACATCCATGGATTCCTTTCTGAGCGTTTCATCCAAATCTGTTGAGTAGTTCGTGAGATATTTTGCTAACAGACAAACACAAACATGACCCCCTGCATTGTGGCAGCAGTTGTATTCAGATTCTCAGGTGTTCAGAACCTGAAGTGAGTGCAGACAGGTGTCTTTCTTTCCGCTCGACAGTTTTCAGGGTGTCAGTCTTCCTGTCCCGCAGCTACAGGGCACCAGTCGCACCAGTCGCACCAGGTGCCGAGGCAGCAGGTAAGCTGGTGCGCGCGCGTCAAAGCTGGCGGGAGCCTCGGATTGGCTGGTGTTCAGTCCCTGCGGGGGTCCCCCCGCGCCTCCTGGCTCCTCCTCTCTCCATCAGAGCCCTGCCTTGTTGCGGGGAGCGCGGACGGCTCTGTGCGCTCCGGCTGCTGAAGTTGTGGACACCCCGCACATCCAGTGCACGCGCTCCAATCTTGCGGCTGAGCGAGACAAATCTGAGTTTGTGTCCAGCTGCGGGACCGAGGACACCCAACAGCATGCGGCGCAATTATGGCAGGCAAGGATAAGACCGTGGTGAGGACGCTGGAGGATTTAACGCTCGACTCTGGTTATGGTGGCGCCGCGGACTCCGTCAGGTCGTCCAGCGTGTCGCTCTGCTGCTCCGACACGCACCAGTCCATCCCGCATGGAGGCAACTACTGGCATCTGACGGAATCCATGCACAGCAGACACAACAGTTTGGACACGGTCAACACCGTCCTGGCGGAGGACACGGAGATCCTGGAGGGCTCGGGACACAGCGCCAAGCTGCCCGAGCTGGAGGAGGTGCCGTGGAGCCTGGGAGAGGTGGAGGGCGCGCTGAGGAAAGACCAGGAGCTGATGGTGGGGGAGCCTCCGCCGGAGGTGCTGGCGCGGCTGTCTGCGCTCGTGAGCCGCGCGCTGGTGAGGGTGGCGCGGGAGGCGCAGCGCCTCAGCCTGCGCTACGCCAAGTGCACCAAGCACGAGATCCAAAGCGCCATGAAGGTGGTGTTCTCGTGGACCATCTCCGTGAACTGCATCACGGCGGCGCTCAGCGCGCTCTCCCTCTACAACATGAGCACGGGCGACAAGTTCAGCCGGGGCAAGTCCGCGCGCTGCGGCTTGGTCTTCTCCGTGGGTCGCTTCTTCAGGTGGATGGTGGACAGCCGCGTGGCTCTGAGGATCCACGAGCACGCGGCCATCTACCTGACCGCGTGCGCGGAGAGCCTGTTCAGGGAGGTGTTCGGACGCGTGGTGCGCAGCGCGCTGGTGGAGAGGGACAACGGGATCCCCAAGATCAGCGTGGAGTCCATGGAGCAGGCCATCAGCGGGGACTCGGAGATGTGGGGTCTGCTGCAGCCCTACCAGCACCTCATCTGTGGCAAGAACTCGAGTGGTAAGAAAAAATCTGCTGAGGGATCATGGTGGAACATCCTCAAGTTCAGTTTTCCTCCTACCCAACCTGTAAAATATGTTGACCCTGTTCAGTTCCCAAACTAATCGGACCCTCAAAACAACAGTGGCAAAAAATAAATAAATAAAAAAAATCTTGTGACCCTTAAAGTAAAAGTTCATTTCAAAACGATTTAATTTGAAAGAAATTAAAAGAGTTGCCCCAAGTCCACTCAGTGTCCAAGATTCTGGATGAAAGTTATAACCGGGAACACAAACTGGTATTTCTTCTGTTCTTTTTAGTTATTCCTATGAAACTTTCACCAAATGTGTATTATGGTAAAAAAACAACAAAACAGTTCTGTTTGTGCTGATGTTTGAAATCAGTTGATATTTATGGGTCTGCAAGCTGCGGCTCTCGGGCCACATGAGGCCCTTTGGTCCCTCTGCAAAGGCCCTTGATCAAAACTAACTTAAAAATTGAATTTTATTTCAATTATTGCCAACAATGAAAGTGGTTGCAGATTTCCTTCAGTTTCAAATATGTGACGGATAGTACAAATACAAGAAATAAAACATCATGCTAGTTGTTTGTTAGCCACTTTAAGTCAACCTCCAGTCTCAGCGTCAAAACCACCAGAATGTTTTGGAATATCTTTAAGGCAAGTTGCTGAGAAGGAATATTTGATGACGCGAAGATTAAAACACACAAAAAAAAACAAAGTCCAAGTAATTAAAGTATTTATTTTCTTGTAACTGGATAGCCAACAAACTAATTTTAACCTGTCTTTAACTTTATGCTTTAAGTACGATGCTTAATTCTTCAACTATTAAGAGAACTCACATCAACCTGCAGAGTTCAGTGTTTTAATTTTTATAAACTTGTTAAAAATTATATATGTTTGCTTTCTTTACATGAATCTTTTTTTTTCTATATTAAAATGCAAAAATATCAATAAACGTTAATAATAGTTAGACATTTTTCATTTTATAATATCACCCCTACTGTCTGGAAAAGCCATCTCCAACAAACTTGTGGTCCATGGGCCACCAGTTGACCGGACACATTTGTAGCAGGTTTAGTACAAAGTGGCAAAGGTTGCAGACCCTGGAATATATTTTAAACATGATGTACATTTTGCAGCTTACTTGCAAATTTGGAAGATAGATGGAATTCAGAGTCATTTTCTTGTATGTTATCAATACAGACTCAAGTTTTCCATGACTGAACCCATCTTTGGGGAACCAAAAGTCTGTAGGGATCTATCTCAGCAGTCCTTACAATCAAGCTAATCTGCTTCTGAATTTCCAAAATAACAAACTTTATGCAGATTATAAACAAATCTCAGTTGACCAGCTGGATCACATGAAAGCCAAACCATAGCTATGACATCTGTAGGGTACAGTCAGTTTATTTGGCAGTGCTCAAAATAAAAAAAAAGTAGGTTATTTGAACTACCGTATTTTCCGGCGTATAAGTCGCGTCAGTCAAAAAAAAGCATCATGAAAAGGAAAAATAAAAAAAAGTCGCATTTGTGCATCACCGCTGACGCGTCGCGTTTATTATGAGTTTATTTAATGGTCAAAACAGCTTCATGTTGCCTGGGCAGCATGGCACCATCCATCCATCCATCCATCCATCATGGCCGGAGCTGCTAGCTCTTCAGCGTTCCTCCGCCTGCACCAGCTGAGCCGAGCGAGCGCGCACGGGAGGACTCGCTGTTGCAGTTCTTTGAAATTTAAAGTGTCAGTCAAAAATTGCGTTATGAATATGAAAAAAAAAACATATACAAGTCGCTTCGGCGGATAAATTGCAGGACTGACAAATCTATGCAAAAACTGTGACTTATACACCGGAAAATACGGTACTTAAAAACCCCATATATTGAGCTGTATTTGATCAATAACAGTTGAGTTTTGGAGTGTTTCCACGTTAGACAAGTGATAAGACCATAAGCCATGTAAGTATCTGTGCTCAGATTGTATTACAAGTGTAATTACACCCCAAACAGCAGGTTCTGACAGTCTCCTCTGAAACAAGTTGATCAGAAGCCTGCAGCAACAACAGTCAAATAAGTATTTATGTGTGGAAAAAGATGAAACGGACTCCATCTGGTGTTTGCGTGCGAGCCATTGTGTTTCTGTTGAATGATAATGAGTGTTTTTGACAGCCTGGGCATCACGGGATGATTTAAAAGCAGCGTTCGTGTTTATATTGTGTGCTGGCCTTGTTGATAACGCTGCTGTGTCACTCCAGAAGGTGTAAGCCGTCCATGGAATGGGGGCTGGTCTGAATGAGTTGAGGAACTGAAGCAGAAGGGACTCAAAATGCTACATCAAACAAAGCAACAAAAAAGTCATATTGCAGCTCTGATCATTGCACTATATACTCAAAGCTTTGGGAAAAAGAAAAGCCTCTTGAACAATTCATGTCATGAGAGGTTTCTTTAACAGCTCCAAGAAATGAGAGTTTCAGAGGAAAATTTGATCTGAAATGGATCTGACTGTTATATAAACCCTGCATAATGTGTAGAGTTTTCCAACCTGACAGGTTGTTTACTTCAATATAAACCCTTGCTTATGTAAAAGGCAGAAAATGTTATAGCCTCCGAAGTAAACAAAATAAAATAAGACATAAAAATTGTGTTTTGATGAACATCGAGTCTGAAATTTTGACCAAAAAAGAAATGAAAAGGCGTCTTTTAGATTGATGAATCATAGAACTGTGACAAATTAGGTGTAAACTTACAGACAGGTGAGCTAAAGTGAGAAACAACCACTTTTCTCTCAATTATTCCATCTCCATAAATATAGAAAGGGTTAGTCTGGCCAATCCTGCGAATGATATTCACTAAGCGGAAAACATTTTCAAATGCTCCAATTGAACCATCTTTTGTCCATTAGTTAACTCTTTGGTCAGTCGTCCTCTTGGGTTTTCACTGAGAGGGCGTCCTGGACTTTAGCAAAATCTTTGAAGATCTGTGAGGATTTTTGTTGTCACAGTTGGTTCCCAATTTAAATTATGGATTTAGATTGGGTTGGGTTGATTTCCTCATTTGGTTTTCACGAGTTTCCTGCTTCCACACAACAAATCCTTGTTTCATCATCAGCACACCTGCTTTATTATACCTTGCTCCCCATTCTCCTGTGTTCTTAACCAAGTCCTTCTTGCTCACCCCTTGTCTATATAGTTGATCTATTTGGTCAATTTTTTGCAAAACATTCTGATGCTGCTTACCTATTAGTCTCAAATTTGGGTTCTTTTCATACGATCATCGAAGGCGGGACGTATTTTGGTATAGTCGACGCCTGACCATGTGTATGTTCGTCCCAGAACTTCTGATCTGCTCAAGATTGTAGGAGTTGTGGTTTTGCCTCTGCTGTCTAGCTCCATCTGATGTTGTGTTAATGTCTGCGTTCCCCTGATCCTCTATTTCTATCATTATAGGGTTTGTGGTTCTTTAGTATCTAGCTCCATCTTGTGTTGTGTTTATGTCTTTCATCCTATGTCTCTTTCTTTGGCATCTGTGATTACTCACAGCCTTCACATTGTCTAATTGGTGTTTCCTGTATTCAAGCCTGTGTGTTTCGCTTACCCCTTGCCCTGGCATTGTCTTCTGTTCACTGGTGATGACCTGTCTGTATCATGAGTACCCCCTGATCATTCTATGTTTTTTTTGCTGCCCTGTCAGCTCTCTGTTTTGTTAATAAATTCTTTATTATATATATACCCATCCTGAGTCCTTGCTGCCTGCACCAATGGGTTCACCAGCACCAGCCATTTGTGATAAAGATAATTTAGCAAAACTTCTCACACATATGCATCATCACTAGCTGGGGTGTTGTATACAATTTTCATCACTCCAGCTCCAAGGCCAAGGTCACAAATCAAGGTCAAATGTTACACAAGGTCTTTGTCCAGATCATTGCTATAGATTGCTGTATAATAGTATGTCGATGGGTGTATATTGTGCTGTATGCAGAACTTTTGTTCTATTTATCCTAAGTTGCAGCTTTCAGTTTGTGCCATCCAACTGGAGTTTCAAAGTCCCAGTTAAGGGGAGCTGCTGTCATATTACGGTTGGGAAAGTCTTATTGGGCCGTGGAAATGCTCAGTTGGGTGGAAGGTGTCTATAAGGATCCAAACAGAATCTAAGTGAAACAGTGATACAGTAGTCCCTTACTTATTTGAAACAGTGATACAGTAGTCCCTTACTTATTGCAGGGGTTATGTTCTAGACACCCCCGCGACAGGTGAAAATTCACAAAGTAGGAACGTTATATATATTTTAGTATTGATATATATTTTAAAGCTTTATGAACCCTTCCCACACATTAGCAGTGTTCTTAACAATGTTCTAAACTCTCTAAAAGAGCACAACGAAAGAGAGTAGACAGACTGATGCTACGGGTACTGAGCCAATCAGCGCCTGGAATACAGAGCACAAAGCTCTGGTTGGTCGCCTTCCATCAATCAGCCAGTCGTGTGTCTTGTACAATCTTACGTTGAAAACCTGCGAAACAGTGAGTCCACAAAAGTCCAACCGCAAAATACTGAGGGACTACTGCATACACTTTGTTCATCAGTGGTGACGATTGGTGTATTTTTCAAATCATAACTTACTTAGATGGATAGTAGTGTCATATTGGGCTGCTTTGTTTTTTTTTTTTGTTGTTTTTTAAGGAGCAGCTGCATGCATGCTTTTCACGCCTCCTCCGTGGACCGTTGTTTTTCGATGGTGCAGAGGAGGCAATTTGCACTCCCACTAAACATCTCTGTGCCACCATTAGGGGATAGCCAAAAACAAAGAAAACTGGCTATTTTTTAACAAACACTTCTACAAGAAACAGTTTTCATACTCTGGTTACAGTGGCTTCAATTTAACATGGATCATTCATGTGGCTTAATAATTACCCTCCTTAATCGCATTTTAATCTAAAATTCAATCAGGTGTCTGTACTTCCTTCTTTTCTTTTTTTCTTCTTTTTTTTTTTTTGGTGAAA